GGAGCAAGGGTATATGCTTAAAACCTAGAATAGAAGCCCAATGGGCTTAATCTCAAAAAGAAGCCCATTTAAAATTAAAGCCTCCTCTTTAGTTTGCAAAAGTAGCCTTGAAAAAAGGCCCATCTCAATATAGCATCGGCTTTTTTTGAAGGATAGTACAGATCATATACTGTACATGAATTTCAAGGAAACAAAAACAATTAAAAACATGCTTGGTTTATACAGTAGTTTGGGTGATTTAATGCCGGATAATATGCTCCACGACACAGATTGATGTTACAGTGGCCCAATTTATTGTTTTATAGTAGTAATTCCCAAAATTGACAGCATTCATTTTGAAAAGAAGCCCCTCTTTACTTTGCAAATGTAGCTTCAAAAAGAAGCCCATCCAAATTTTGCAATAACAAAAAAAGACGCAGCCCAGGGCTTCAATTTGAGGTTTTACTCTTCAATAAGAGTTAAGTATAGAGAGGAATACTGCAGCATGGGCTGGATTTTGTGCATACATTGAATTTCAAAATATTATCACACAGCAATCTTTGACCTGGAACTCATGAAAGGAGAAACAGAGGAAGCAAAGATACTAGAAACACAAGATAGAGTTCGCCGCAGAAAAAAACTGTTCCACCGAAATGCATGGTGGGAATACAAACATTGGGGCGCCATGTACAGCTGGATCTAAAAAACTTTTGGCAAACTTACATAACTGTAATGGTTAATACATAGCCTCATTTTGCGAAATTGTTGCCATCCATAAGATACAAACAAATAGGCATAAATAAACCAAAAGAATAAAATGACAGACACATGTTATTGACACTTGTAACACTGCCAGTGGAACGTATTTCTGAGTTTTTTCAGACAAAAAAATTATACTGAATCTTGAGAATTGTATGACTGGACTCCAATTAGTGATAAAGTTTCCATCATTAGCGAAAAGTGTGGATTTACTTAGCAAACAGAAGGGCACCCTGTACGTCTGAAGCAAGTATAGATAAACTTGCATTAATAAAAAAAAAAAAGGAGGGCGATGACGTAATTTCCGCCTCATTTTTGCTATGCCAGTGCTCTATCTTGTGTTTCTAGTACCTTTGGCGGAAGACACAAGTCTATTGTAGTGCTATGCTGACTTGCAATATTTGCATTTATTTATTTATTTATTTTTACGACCGTCGTAAAACGAATCCAACTCCGTTCCCTGTGAGCACTAGATGATGCAACGCCGGTCTGCTGATAGTAGCAGTCTGAACTGATCGTCATTAAAAACGATCCATTGCGGGCGCGTCGTGGCGTTGCATTCTTCATAGGATCGCATCGGCCGACGACTATCAAATGCAGTGTGTTCCGATGATACGAAACACCAAAGTATGTTACGTATGTACTTTCTATTAAGCACTGTGACGTTTATTAGAGTACATCTATAATAAACTTGGCAACGATTATTCCAAAGTGGCAGTTAGTAAAACAAAATCATGGTTAGTGTGATGCTTATTCAAGAACAGCACTCCCTAGTACTTGGGAGAGGCACTAATGTAAAGGCATGTTGAGAATTATCACTGAGGGCAGCACTACAAATAATTCCAAAGAAAATGTAGGCAAAATGTTGGCAATCCATTAAGTGCAACAAACCCAAACATTTTTTTTTCCATTCTATGAGTTTTAAATTCTTTTTTTTTTTCCATTAGAGATTGATAAAAATTTCCTACTGCGTGCTGTGCTCTACCTGAATTTGCTGAGACAAAAACAGTCAATGTTTTAGCTTCAACTTACCGAAACATGGAACCAAGCCCTTTGAGAACTCCAGTTTTTCTCCTGTCTTTTGTTTTTTTCTTGGAAGAACGCATGGGTTTTTCAGAAGGATCACCAATATAGCCATTGTCGAGGGCACCGTCAGACTTGGCCATCATTTTCAAACCGCCATTTTCTTTTCGAGAAAAAATGCAAAAAGGAAAGCATTTCAAAGATGGTACAAATGTCATTATTTTAAGAGAATCTTGAATTAACATCAGTAACATAAAATGTGACCATGGAATATTGATTCAAATCTGTGATACAAACTTCTACATGTGAGCAACAAATGAATGAGTAAAGGTAAATATGACACATCACTGTAATGCCTCTGTACTCCAGGATTGTGAATATCTTCATACATATGATGAATTGGATCTTTGTTCTCCTGACACATCTTGACAGACACAATTAATGAACATACCACTTTCAAATCAAGCAATCATTCCAAAATTTCAAATACAAAGACTTTTCTTTCGATCGCTACAACATTTGCATACAAATAATACTGTAACACATAGAGGTATTATATTGATTATGCAAGACAACATGTGAGTCAGTCTGATAATATTCAAATACAGGCTGATGATAGTGATCAACTTATTAGGATTTAATTCTGTGGTCTTCATTCATTGCAGTAATTCCCAACATTGTTTAGGTAAATATAAAAAATACATACATATGTAAGACTTGTTATTAAGATAGCAAATTTGTTTTCATCATTATTTAAATTAACTAAAGAATAACTTTCAAAACAGTAATAATATATATGAAAATTTACTAAAAATTAATAATATATTTTTTATGCACACTACATTAAAAAATAATTACTTGAAGAAAAAAAAAAAAAACATTGTCCAGACCGAGATTCAAACCCCAAATCCCTCTGATTACCGCTTGAATGCTCTTGTATGAGGCCAAGCGGTATACAGCCTTGGAATTGCCTATTAGTACACATTTTGTTTTTTTCTTATGGTATTGCATAATATTCAGTGAATAATGATAGATCACTTGAAAAGTTACTATCATAAAGGAAACATGACTAGATGTCATTTCAACAGTGCAGATTACTGGAGCTAAAAATAGACCTCAAGCGATGCCCGCATTACACCAAGTACCGTAAGTAATCTTCTTTTTTTTTCATCTGTATTTTTTTGTTATATTCCATAACCATTAGTCAATATCTTGCTGACCACTGTTTTAACAATGGGTCTCTAATTGCAAGAAAATGATGCAATGGTTTTGGTTCCTGCATTAGTCTGTTTTTGTAGTTTTCATATTTTTGGTTATCTTAAGATTGTCTGTTCTCTTTTTTTCTCTGTCCTTCAAATCTCTTGCATCTTCATTCTGCTTTTTTATTAATTTCAAATTGTCTTTTGTTTACTTCAACTTGGTGCTTAGAGACATTGTTTATTTGTACATATCTATTATTATTAATATTATTATTATTATTATTATTATTACATGTATTATTATCTATTATTCTATCTTCTCTTATTTGCACCTTATCTATTATTATTAATAATGTTGTTAATATTATTATTATTATTATTATCTATTATTCTATCTTATCTTATTTGTAGCATATCTATTATTATTATTATTATTATTATTATTATTATTATTATTATTATTCTATCTTATCTTATTTGCACCTTATCTATTATTATTATTATCATTATTATTATTATTATTATTATTATTATTATTATTCTATTTATTATTATTAATCATACTGTACCAACAGTATCTGTATACAAGTACTAAATACTGCAGCACAGGTCACTTACTTTGTGACATAACCATCCATAGTTTAACTTTCTTTGGTGACTAGGCTAGTTAACTGTATATCATTGGCTACATTTACATCAGTAACATTATGTTCTTGGCCTAGCATACTTGAAGCAATAGTTTATAACTGATCACTGGCCCGCTGGCTAGTAATAAGGTAGGTTTACTGGCCCAGAGGAGTTTTTACTAGACATTGTATGACGGACTAGTACTAAATCAAGCCCTGCCATCACATGAGTTCACTGCACTATCATATTATTCTGACCATCAATATTTAATTATTTTAAACAAATAATTGAGTCGAACTGCTGGCTCATTAGTTTTATCTGCATTGTCTTGATGCATCATTAATTTTTATGCACAAATTTGACGTAGTAAATAATTAACACTAATAATAATAATAATTTAAAAAAATAAAAATAATATATACCCTATACATACAAACAATAATACATAGATTTTATCAAAGATTGTATTGATACATGTTTAGCAAGCTCTTGTTTACAGGGTTTCTATTGTAATCACATTTGACTATTGTCCTTGGGCAAAGCACTATTCAGATTGTCTTTGTTTTTTTCATGCTGAAAAATTACCAGAAATAACTCGCCAGGCACTGAAAAGAATGGATGTTCAATTAAATTAAATGGTATGAAGTGCATTGATGCCTATGGCATTCAAGGTATCAACACTGAAATATTATACATAAATAATAAAAATTATTATTATTATTATAGTTATATGATGGTAAATTGGAAAGGTGCCAATCTTTTCTAATGAAGAATTAGATGGCAAATGCATTTGAGTTCAATATTTTTACCTCTGAGGTTGGGGGTCTTCAACAATCATTAATTGGGAGATTAAAGAAAATAAGAAAATAAGGTTATGTTGAAACATCAGCAAATGACTGGCTTGTTTCGCACATATTTATGGTAGGGCCTGTAATAATTGAGTTACATCGCAATTCTTTTCATCAATACAATATAAAAAGACAGCACGATTATATACATTCTAAGACAGAATACAAACTATGAAATATTACGATATGGCAAAGGATCAGCATATCAAGTGAATGCATCACAGTTATGTACTTCTCCATCGCAAACCAATGCCAAGAATGGATCCAATAACTCCAAAATAAATTTTTGATTGTTAAATTAAAACTCCAATATTATCAATATGAATAGCTACTATTTCATGCTCACAGGTCATGATAGTGCTATTCCCTGGTGCCATATGTTTAAAATTTGCCAGCTGCTCGTGGTGGGCCAATATAATCCAAATATTAACAGAGAAATAATTATGCATGTGCACAATGTAGTACGGTACTTTAACCCTAGCCATTATTTCTATAATTATTAATAGAAAATTAACTACCTGTCAGACATCAGCAAAATAAACCTCTACCGGTCAATAAACTATTCATTTTGTCACCGTGAATTCTTCCATATTAAATCAAAATAACTAACCTTTGACATCCTTCCTATCAAGTGTATCTCCGTAGGATCGATCAACAGCGGCACGGAAGCTCTCGTTACACACTCTTCCACGAATCACTTTGGCGGAAGTGCGGGATGATCTGCCTTTGCTGTCGTTTGTGTAATCGGCAACGGCTGCTTGAAGGCTCTCGAAGGAACTGGATTTTTTCATGCCAAGTCCTGGACCTAAATCTTTCCTTTCAGAGGGAGACACTGTTACAAAAAAAAAATGTTTTGCTTAAAATAAATATCTTATTATGATTGTTTTACTCAGTAATTTAAAAGGGGTGGTTCTTTTTATCATAGAAATCTATATCTTCTACTTCAATCACAAGCTACATTATCACCAATCAAATTTTGTTTTATATTTACAAATTTTTCTACTATAAATGTAAGAACACTGCAATCAGACAAATAGTTTTACACAATTGAACATAAAATTGCCTCACATGTTCCCTTATCAGAAGCATGAATTAAGAAGAATGAGTTACTATTATTACATTTGAATAGAATGATATATGTAACTTATAAAATTGAATTTGAAATATAAGAAGAATTTCAACAAATGAATTCCTTTCAACCAAATCATAAAAGATGAAAAGCTTATGAAAAAATAAAATAGAAACCAAGATTTGTTAGAAATATTAATTAAAGTAAAGGATAATGTAAATTTACCTAAAATTAAAACCAATTTTACATCCATTTAAAAAATATATATACTGCAGTACAGAGTAAGATGAATTCAGCTTATGGTTTTACTATTATTGCCAAAATCAGAAATTTCAATTTTAAACTCTATTATATTAATACTATATACTACTATATTTCAAAGACTAGTTTAGAATGAACAGATGTACAGCTTAAGCTTTAATAAAAGGGAAAAACACAAACCCCAAATAAAAACAGCCGTCAGAGTTGATAATATGTTGTACACTAGTATAGGTTAAAACACAAAAACTGTTTTCTATTGTAATGATTATTAAAAAATAATCAATATTCTATCAACCAACATCCAACCAATTAATCATCAATCGACATTTATTAATCAAGCAATATTTCAAAATTAAATCAATCACTAAATTATTATTACTAAATCAATAACAAATAAAGAAATTACTTTTTGAAGATAAACTCTGATCAACAAAACATATGATCAACAGACACACTTACACCATCCATTGAAATGTCCAGAAATAAAATGTAATGATTGTTAGTTTTTTTTAGTAAATGTTAGGGGTTGTATATAAGATGAAAATATATTTATAGAGACAGCATGATGTATATGCATATCATATATTATTTTTTATTATATTGACTTATATACATAATATACCACATGTATATATAGTTTTATATTGTGGAATCATGCAGGCAAGCACTAATGTCATTCCAACTCAATTATTTACATCTTGGAAACATTGAAGTGAATATATATATTATTATATTTAAAATTAGCGAGCAGAATAATTGCTTGCTCACTTGTAATTGTACTATCATTACCTCAGCAGTTTTTGACTAGTCCATTTATTATCAGAAAGAGAAAATACCCGCTAAAATTTAAGATGTTACTGATGAATTTTTGTTTTCTCTCTTTTAGAAATACAATTACATTATTTACAATGGAACATTAAAAATTTTAATTGCATTCTGGGATAATTTAGATACTATCTGACATGTCGCCTCTACATCAAATTTGCTTTATTTCTGATTGTGGTGTAAACTTAATACTTGATACTTTCTATGCAGAACAGACCTTAATATATGAAAGCAATACAACACAATAGACAACTATTATTATGTTTCACATTTGATTGACACAAAGACCTTGTAAGGTCAAATTAGGCTGGTATCATCTATTCCTAAATAAACATGAATGCATAATGCTTTAAAACCCAAATGTGTGACAGGCTGACATTCTAAATATGTATCAATTTCTAGTACTAATGACAACATTTGTATTCAGTATTCAGTATATTTTATTGTCATTTGTAGAAAACATTTTTTTTACATAGGAAACAACAACAAAATAATAATAACAATAATAATAATAATAACAATAAATAATAATAATAATAATAATAATAATAATAATAATAATAATAATAATAATAATAAAATAATATTAATAATGCCTAGAAATGTTATATATGACAAATCTTTGATTAGGCAAAGAAATCCAAGCAAGAAGGAAGTAGAATCTAAAATCTAATTGAATGAATAAAAGGGAGAAATTGATATATTATATAAACTCATATTTTATATTCACTCAAAACTGAAATAAATTCATGCATACAAATAGATACATAAATTCATGCAATATATAAACTTATACATGCAATGGAAAATGAAATGAATTTTGACAATATGTTTCTCATAGTGTCAAAATGTGTCAACAAATGTTTCCATGTTGCTTATTTATATACAAAACTTAGGAGACAATTTTTTTTTAAATACACTGTTTTATAAATTTACATTGTTTTTACTTAATTTCATTTATGATTTGTCTTATATTTTTCAAAATGCTGTTTGTATTTCCAGAAACAACTGGAGAGAAGTGGAAACATTTGTTACATATGCATGCAGGTAGAGTGCTGTTGAAGTTTCTTACGGAAGGCAAATGATTTAGATTTGGGTTTGAGCTTTGGGTAGTAATCTTCATATGCTGCTACAGAGATGGGTAAAGAAAGATATCGTCAGAATTTCAAAAAGAAATCAAACAAGAATTTCCGCATCTTCATGTCATAAATTTGCATACAATAAATGAAACTGTCAATGGGGCTCATCGAGATATTTTGGCCACCCAGCCAATCGTTCGAGCAAAAATCCAGGATGTTTATATTTGAACAGTCAGCAGGATTAGGTATATAAATGAGGCTACAATATTGCATCAATCCATTCACAATGTAGCCAATTCAGCATTATAAAATGGATAAGGCATTAAAATGAAATGAAAGCTCACTTTCATGAAATTATGGTACATTGTAGAAATAAGAAGGGCAGGTCGGTTTCCATTAATAATGAACAATATGACTGGCAATTATAATTATGTATGCTGTTTATCATGGTCACATCAATGGATTTAATTAATTAGTTAGATTTTAAAGAAGTGTTATATTTGCCAGCCTAACAATAAAGGTATCCAGCCTAACAATAAAGGTAAACATAGGTTATCATGTGTTATGGTGATGTGTATGTCCAATGGTTAACTGTAAATAACGATTTTCAACACTATTCATTTTAAATAATTATACTCTATTTATAATTCGGAAATCATTTTCCAGCCATCTTCATCATGTCTTGTTTCTATAACTTTTATTATTTCTATTTTTCAGCACCATGGCAAATCTTTAGGCTGGCAATAAAAAAAAAAATCTTTTAGATTCTAATTTTGCTATGGAGAGATTTACTGAAATTGAACTTAAAAATTGCATACTAAGAATTTTAAAAAATATGTAATTCATCATTACTGTTCTTGGCAAAGTGAAGTACATTTTAATAATTAAAATTATGCTATATATTCAAAAATTATTATTTTTAAAACATCCACAGATGCCACAGATGTTGACAGGTGGACCTAATATATTTTTGAAGAGCATGTATTGCGTGTGAATACTTTTTGTAAATAGCAATTACCTGTTTCGATTACATGCAATGTTTAATGGTGTATAAATAATTACATAATAGAGAAGATATTGATACTTATTATTTTAGTGAATAGACGGATTCGGCGATGTTTGTTTACAGCCGGTCATGTCTTAACTTGGGCATGGAGGAAGGGGTATACATGAAAAACATTACAGTGCGATAGTATAGGAAAAGACAATGTTATGGTTGCGAAAATAACCACCCACTCTTAATGTGAGAAATAAATTGCTAGGAAAAGCAATACGATTGTTCAAAATAGTGTTTATTTACTTATCCTAGCGTTCTCCTTAGATTGTATGCTTTGAAATTTAAGTGATCCTTCATAAACCTTAGCTAGCGTAGTTCACGGGTCGAAGACCATCATGCAAACCTAACCATGCCCTAGATGTGCAGGGGCCTAGGTCTAACATTTGTTGAAAAATCTCAGTGTTTGCGGCCAGTATCCTTTACAGCATTAGCAAACCATTAAGGCAAAATTCTAAAGTTTAATTTCCAATCAATTTGGTATAGTTTACTGGGAATTATGATGATCTTTACAGCAATAATAAGGGACCACCGCAATAGCCATCTCCATGCAAACACTGCTGTGCCAGTTGATTATTTATATCCAACACCAAAGTTAGGTCATGAGATGCCATCGCCGAATCCGTCTATTGTTATATGTGGTTGCTTGGGTATCTATTGGCAGAACTATGTGTATGTCTTGGTGTGTGAGTGTTGGGTTGTGTATGTGTGGGTGCACTTAAATACACTCAACTTAGACAACAAAATGTGCTTGAAAACTTCAAGAAGTGACACAGTGTCTTGTGCATTACAGTGTATGGTCGTGTTCAAAAATGTTGAAAATGTATTGAAGAAAGAAAGAAATTGTAATGATATATAAGATGAAAAGAATAAGAAACAAAAACAGAAAAATATAAATAGGAAACAGCTGGAATAAGATGAAGGAATCTTGAAGGAATTCGACAGAATAATTCAGTAACAATGAGTTCAGTAATATCCTATTTAAGGACGATGCAGTAAATCACAATTACAAGATCTTATGAGATTAAAGAGAATGTATGTAATCATTAATAGTGGCTGTAAGGAGAGATTGCATGTTGTATGGAAATGGTTTCCAAATAGAGATGTGATCAATAATCACAGAAAAGTTTTGTGAAGCAACAAATGTTGTATACTGGTTTAACATCAAAAGGCAATTTGTGTATTAAAGCATCAAAAGTGGTTGTGTACCAACAAATCTGTTCTAAATGTGTGAAAATCAACTAAAACATCATTTCCAAATCAAAATATAGTCATAATTTATCACCAGAGAAATCAAAGATTCAAACTTCTTAACATCAGGAAATCATTAAAGAATCATGGTATCAAAGAATGAGCATTATCTATGAATCAGTGAATCCACACGTTTTGGATTGTATCATTCTAAATGGATCTAAAGCCAGAGAAAGAGAGAAGATGTAGATAATATATAATATATATGTTTATGTTAGTTTATAATAGACTTACTGTGGTGATAAGATGTCAAATTAGTACCAGCAAGCAAAGATTCACTTGAGTTTGATTTCACCATTTTACCTGATGATGAATTTCCTTCTCTCTTTCTTGTACCAACGGCTGAAACGATGAAAAGAGAAAGAGAATGTACCGTATCATTACAATTTTTTTCAGATAACAAACACAACTTCATTTCTTATCACCACTACCATAAACATTAAACACCATCCACACACTACTATTTTAGATATATAATAAAAAATTTAAAAAAAAACTAATGGAAGTAAGAACTTAAAAGAACAGTTTCAAGTTCAGATTTGAACATTACATTTATATATATTTTTTCATCTGTATAGACATTAATGGAAAATTACAAATATGAAATACAATTTATTCAGTCCAGCAAAATCCTCTTTTCACCAGTATTAACCATGATTTTAATACATAGCTTGGTGAATCTGAATATAAATGTACAGACATAACCAAATTAACTCTACCTAGCTACTGTGTAAATATGCTTGATCTTTACTACCAATCTCAGAGGGGTTGTGAAAATCTTACCAACAGGGCTGTACTTTATGATAATACAGCAAGTTTACCCTTCCTCTTTAAAGAACCTTTTATGATGTTGTATTTATTCATTTATATGATGGTAATTAAATGCTATATGTAACAGCAATTTTACCATTCCTCTCTAAATAACATTTTATGATGTATTTATTCATTCATATAATGTTAATTTAATGCTATATTTTGTAATTAAAATTAAAGATTTGTAAAATGGAAGTTTTATCGCATTACTTTTATTTTCATATCATTAAATATTTAACCTTTACAAGAATCGATTCTATGGCTTTTAAATGCAAAATAGTATCATTTCACATTACAAATTATAATGTGAAATCAATAAAGAATATGAAATATAATAAAACACCTCAAGTAAGAAAATCTATTGGTAGTGCAATAAACCCAATACACATTGTTGAATATACAATACATTTACGCTAGGCCAAGTAAAAATATTAAATTATTGTCACTGGCCCTTCTTGCTGCTGCCACAAAAACAGACTAACAGCATTAAGTTTAATACTAATAACCTCTACATTCATTAAGTCCAATACAATTGAGTTCATTGTACTGCTATGCATAGAAACCAAAATGTATTTAAAAACCATACGTGACAATAACAAAAATGAATTGCTTGTGATGTACTATTATTGGATGATGTTTTTTGTTGGTTTTTTTTTTTAAACTAATTTTAAGAAAATTTTTAGATTTTTTTTTCTGGATTTTAATGTTTTAGTATTCTGTTTTTGCCAACTGAAGATGCTTTTCTGTAATTTTTTATGAAAGACAATTTAATTATGTAAAACATGGAGCAAAATTCTTGACAAAAAAAATTCACACCATCTGTCTCATATTTCATATTATTTCTAAATGTTCCAATTTTTGAAAAAGGAAAACATGTGATACATTTTTGCATCTTGCTTTGAACACCTGAATACATAAATTGGTTATTACGATAATAAAAAGATAAATTTCTACATCGTTAAATAGTTCACACACACAACCACTATTGTTGCTAACCAAGAATCTACTTCATTAAAATATAGAAATACAGCATTATTGATCCTACAATTTCCCGTTCAAAACACGAGTAGACATTGAGAAAGAAAAATGGATTGGCAAGTGTGAGTTTACTTGTTACATTTGAGTTTGTTTCCGATTGAATACCTCAAAAAAGAGAACAGAAACGGGAGGAATTCAGGGATGACCAGTAAACACTTCAAAGTCAAAGGTGAATTTAAGCCATGTTTTAAGAAAATAAGGTAGATGGCACCTATTAGTATAAGTAAATTCTGTGGCAAAAAATAAACAATGCCTGACTAAAGCTATAAATCAAGCTTGACAAATCCCTCGCTAAAATTTCATATTTTGGTTAGTACCACCTTGGTACACCTGCCTCCACTACTCAAATCAATGGTGTTTTTTTTCAAATAAATGCAAACAGACACAATAAGGAAATTATCGGGAATTTCCTCACACTTTTCATTGGTCAGTCAGTTTTGTTTTTTTTTATTGACGTCATGAATGACTTTTCTGAATTGCTATTTTTTTGTGTTCCATAGCTGGAATACTTTATATCACATATTCACACGTATAAGGCGACCTGCATATAAGGACCACCCCCCCCCCCACCCGAGTTTGAGAAGATTATGATTTATGGACTATTTTTGTATGTTGGACATAAGTCCATCTCCAGGCATAATTCACAGGCAAAATTTCTAATCTCTGGTCTTTATGGTCTCGAAACTGCTTCTAGTTGGCTGAAAATGGAGCAACTACCATTTTTATGGGCCTTTAAATGTTCATCAATACCTTATTTCCTCGCATTTAAAATTGCGTTCAGTCATACTCACAGTTAGTAGCTTCAATTCAGTAGGAAATTTGCATGTTGCAGACGATCCGCACATAAGGCCAACATAACTTAAATATTAAAAATTTGTATGTGCTGCGTGTATAAGATGACCCCTGTTTTTCAATCTTAATTTACTATTTTATGTCTTGTCTTATATGTGAGATTATACGGTAGATATATTCTAAATCAAGTCTGCGTGTATTGGAATTTATTGTTCATAAGGAAAATTTTGTACTCTTTATGTTTTGGCCTAAATGAAACTACAATTAATCTACATCACATAAACATTGCTAACATTTAAATCTTTAATTCACTCGATAGAAAATTTTACACTGAATACAATAAAAACCTACTGTAGTTTTGAATGGCCCATAGCTGAATGCACTGTACTGCAGGCTTGTCCGAGTTTGCGGCTACCGTGACAAAGTGGTGGACCATCCCGGAATTTGACTCGATAATTCGGGGATAGATCCGTTTATGTGACGGAATCATCAAGAACACTTGATAGAACTTAAAGCACTGTAATGTCTTAAGCGTCCTTGCAAACGGTCTCATCACTTGTTAATCTGGTTCCGCACTCACGTACTAGTATCCCTACCTGGGTTTTTCCTTTGGCTATATGGCACGATACCACTATTTGAGTTCTTCCACAACTTGTCAGCAGAGATCTCAGACAAACAAGTTTAATTCCAATACTCAAAGGAACAATCTGAATCAGCAACAGTGACAATTCAAAGCTCAAATTCCATTCAAAATTAGATCCTATTTTGGATCTCCGCAAATTCAAAACAAGTACTGTTGACGAAACCATTAAAATATATACAAGACCTTAAGCATTCTCGATTACTTTATAGAAGATGTGAAATATGTGTTATTTACATATTCTTATACTAGGGTTGGATACTATACTAGCATCAATTTTTAACAGGAGCCTGACGAGACACACCATCTCATACTTCTTACTGACTCAAAGATTGCGATAACATCTTTGATACGTTGAGTGTAAATTAGAACACTTACATTGGCTTCCCCATTGTTTTCTCAAAAAACGCAATTAAAAATTTCATCAGTCACACGATAGCAAATTTGATCATAATCAATTCTACATATCCATTCTAATGAAATGGATGAATGAAAGATCAACAGAAAGGACGGAACAAAAGGCGTGATAAGCAAGGTATAGAAATAAAAACCCCTAGGACATTTGTTGGAATTATTACAAAAATATTACCTTTTTGGTATAATAAATTCTTGAAGATAATATACATAGTACCTAAACAAAATATTTCAACCATTTTTTTACTAAAGCAATCTTATATTTTGAATACTACAGTATTTCTTAAAATATTAGTTGTATCAAATATTATTTATTTTAACAATTTCAAAATATCATTTACAAGTTTAATGTTTTAAAATTGCAAATATCATATTCTAAATAATTCATTCAACTAATATTTTGATTTCAAATTTTATTTCTAATTTTTTAAATCATTAACAGAACATTTATATTTTAAAATTATTTTTGAAAGCAATCTGTTTTAGAAATTATCTTAATTTTAATAATACAAAGTTACCATACACAACATAGTCTATGACTTACGTATTAACTACTTAAGAATATTAGGCTTTTAATACAGTATTATCTCCACCATTATCAAAGCGAATTACATCATTATCATGTATACACTCCCCAAAAGTGGTATCAAAATTTAAAAAAGTTAAAAATAACTTAGCTTTAGAATTTAAAAATGGGTGGAGTCCACAATAAGATGCAAGTCTAATCACAACCGAAGAATTTCTAAAGCTTGTATATATTGAATACTAAACATGATGAATAGGTATACATATGGCTGTCACAGTGTTAATATGTCCAAGTCCTGTGAAAAGTGGCAATCAATAGTTCAACAATGATATAACTATCCATCCAATGCTTATGGCATCCTAATGCAATTCAGTTTGTACATCACATTAAAAAAAATGCTGCAAAATTTTCGATAAATAATGCATGTTTTAGCAATCCTTACACAGTTTTACAGAGTATAGACAACTGTACGATTCATAAGTGCAATGCTGAGTTGATAGGTTTGTATGTTTGTATAATATATATTTGTTTCTCGTTGCATAGTTGGCAAGTTGTGATAGAGGGCAGCAATGCTACTGTATTAATGGTAATTTTTAATTTTTACTAATAATACTTTGGTTTACAGAATAGTATTCAGTAGATTAATATTACGTTTTTGTGAATGTGACATTGAATATACTGCAATGTTATTCAAAATAATAACACCACCAATAAATTAATAATAAATTTAATAACCAATCAGTTATTAATAACTTAAATTGCCACGACAGCTAACATTCTTCCTCTTCTAAAATGCCACTCTATTCTCTTGGTTATCCAGGAAGGACTACATCTTAAGCACTTTTCTTAAGGATGAGGTAAGGAGAGTAAAATGGTTGGTTTCAAGGAGACACCTACTAATGCTAAAGCCGCCAAGCACGGCTTGATGCCTACTTTGTACGCATTGTCACACAGACATCCACTCAATGTCCACTTCAAAAAGCACTCTAGTAAACTCACATCAACATAATTAATTTCAAAAGCAGTGTTCAAAATAATAATATAATATGTACTGATGAACAACAGATTCAAAATTTAATAAGCTTTATAACAAACATAAAAAGACTTTCACTTATTATAATTAAATTACATCTGATGGCATTTACTATCTTTATTATCCAATCACCCATTTCCTACCTTCATACACGTCTTGCTTTTCTTTATTTGCAGATCTAGTCTTGTTGTACCAGTTCAGCTAAAAAAAAAAATATAAATAGTTTATTGTATTTGACTTTATTACTTTAGCTGGTAAATGGGGAGTAGTAGGTGACAGATCAGTGTTCTGAAATATACATTGCAATGGATGTTCACAAAGTACAATACTAATCAATACAATTTTCATTCATATTTACAACATGAACCTATAATTTTTATTATTTAGATGTTCATAATTCAGATAAATAAAAATTTTCTAGAATAAAATAATGAAAGTTTGAAGTATACCACAAAGATAATTCTGAAAAGAATTGTTATTTTTATTGATAGTAATAATGTATAATTTCCTGACGATGATTGAAGCAACTCAATCAGAATGTTTAGCCACTTTCAACAAAAACAACAGTTCTTTCAAAACTATCTACATGGTGTAGTATTTATTATTATCATTATAACTATCATGATTATAATCATTACCACTACCACTACCATTATCATTAATATTCTTGTAAAATCACCTCTCTAAACAATAGAATAAAATGGATACTATATAAAAAAAACCTTGAATAGAAGAAGCTCTGGCCTTCTTTTTTTTATTATGACCCTTGGATGGGCTTCTTTTGAAGATGGGCTTCTTTTCGAGATTAAGCCCATTGGGCTTCTATTTGAGGTTTTACAGCACGAGTGGGCATAAAAATCGGTCAGAGGGCCAAAGTGAATTATTGATTTAATACCGAGGGCCGCACCCAAACTTTGATGTTTCCTGCGTGCTTCCAAAAACCTCAAAGAACAGCTTTTACACCAATTTATTCTCAGTTTTAATGTTACTTTTTACATATGATTGGTGTTGGGCAGTAAAATCAAGGTGTTTTCTAGCCAATGTTGCTTGGCGGGCCACACCCATAGGGTTTTTAATTTATTGGCCTGGTACTCACGAGAGTCCTAGTATCCGGATCGGGAGCTAACCGTTAGCACCTGCGTGAAAACGCCCGATCGGTTAGCGCTAACCATTAGCGGTATCTGGATACAAGTTGAGCGCCTTTTTATCATCAACCAATCACACGTACGTGTTTACAATTTCCAGTTTCTTATTGGCCAGTGATTCGATCATCATATTTTTGAATCGAGATTTTCTTGTATGGACACACGGCAGCTAACGGTTAGCAGGATCCGGATCCTGCTAACCATTAGCAGCCATTTGAGAACATATCCATTTTCACGGGCAGCAAAAAAATCGCTAGCGGGCTGCACTTTGCCCACCTGTGTTTTACGGTAATAATTTTAAGGAATAATTATGAATATAGTTGATTAATTTTAATCAATTGAACAAATAGTTACTAATAAATTTATAAACACATTTATTTTGCCCACACACATAATCACAACCTCAGGTTTCTCACCTGCTGAGCATCTAAAGAGCCTCCATGTTTTCTTTCTGAAAAACTGCGACGGGCAAAACTGTCACGGTTAAAATCAGTGAACCCGGGGCTTTTGTCACTGCAAAGAAATATCAAGAAAATATTTTATATGAAAATCATATAACAAAAATTAATTTCACTAATCACATACCTAGTAATAACTAATATTATAGCAATAATTATAAAGCTATAACTAATTATATAATTTATATAGCAATAAATAATACTAATTATATAATACATAATTATACTAATTATATAGCAGAAACTATATTAATTAATATACTTCTAAACACTTATAAACAATAACTAATTAAACTAATTATATAGAAATAACTATTAAAAAGCAATAACCAATTTTAATAATTATATGCAGTCACTAATCATACAAAATAGCAAAAAAAAAAAATTATAAGCAATAAGAAGTTTTACTAATTGTACTAATTACCTAATTAAAGAACTATGTTATACAGTATAGATATAACTAATTATATAGCAATAACTGATAATACAAATTATATAGCTTTAACAAATTAGAACATTTAATAATAATTCACAATGACTTGTTAAACTGTTTACTAAACAGACACAAGACACAAGCTATACAAAATTCAAGTCAACTTTATTGTCAAAAATGAATTTGAGATATGGATTAATAATAAAATGCTAAGTGAAATATACTAAAGTTAAAACTATCAGCAATTGATATGAGGTTTGCAAATTTGTTATTACTTACTCTTCTTCTTCATAATCGTCTGTGCCTGATTGGCCTTTGGCCCAATCTAGTACCCACTGAGGGGGTGACGGGGATCTAGGTGGTGGTTGCTCTTGAGAACGGAGTTGAATTTGACTTTCTGGCATTACACTAGAACTGTATGATGACCTCACCTTGTGGTATGAATAAATACAAAACAAAAAAAATTAAGAGAGTGTGTAGAAGAAGTAACTGGTTCCATTCTGTCAAGAAGCTTTTCCTGTGGAAACACATGTTGTAACACATTATCTTGTGGAAGAGACACAAGATAATGTGTTTTTCTAACAAAATTATATGACAAATGAAGCAATGAACAATACTAAAGAAAACAGATTATAAAATAAAATAGTAAGAACAAAAATCTGAATGTTTATATCTTAAATTATAGATGTGTTTTCTCAATATTAGAGAGGTTTCGCATATAAACGAAAATGTGTACGCATACGTTTAGCTTTCCGTAACGGTTTGTAGAAATGCTGTGCTTTTTGCAATTTAAGCGTCGGGCCTTAGACCTAGCCTAGGGGATAGGCTATTCTGTTTTCTTCTTTCATCATGCTTTTCAAAATTAGACTTTGGCATGTCCTAAATTTTTGGTATGTAAGGTTTTGGAAATTGGAAGCGGTAGTCGAATAATACTCCTTATTTCGTGACCCAAAAATGCCTGGCTAATATTAGCTAGGCCTAGGCCTACAGGAAAATCCTGACACCACTAAGCACCAACGTTTTTTTAATATCCCATGTGTATTGGGGTATAAAATTATAATAAAATGTGAAAAAAATATTTTCCTATGCGTTTTTCACGTACGTGTAGTGAGCGAGATATGTGTGTCGTCCACAAGGTTAGCGGATAGCAACCGGCATATGCATCATAAATGAAGATGTATGCGTTACACTAACCGAAACCTCCCTTACATCAAGGAATTTTACACTTACCGGTGGTATGAGGTCTAAATCTGTGTCTTCTATGAGGAACACTTCTCCATTTGTGACAGTGGGTAGAGTAGGTGCATCTTCTATTAATTCTGTATGAAAGTTTGTCTCTTTATATTTGTTTTTAACGTACTTTGGTGTTGCTTGGGTAGCGATCTGGTATGATTGACTACGATTTGGCACTGACTTACTTAGAGGCGTACTATACAATGGTTGAGCAAGAATTTGATCATTTGTCTCTTTTTTCGGGGGGATTTCATCCGGCTGAGATGGACTCAAAGGTCTTTGCATGTGTGAATCATGCATGTCAGTATCTTTGTTCGTTACTTCAATCAAGCGATCAGCATTCAAGGATTCTGCGGATTTTGATTGAAGTGAAGTGTCAAGTGAAGTTTCGTTAACACTGTCATTCAATGCGTCTGTTCTCCGTGCAATTATCAACCGAATCTTTGAAATTGGAGGCTGTTGCGCACACATAGCTTTACGTAATGTCTCCATGGCTTCGCTGTTGGATTTGTTCAGAAGTGATACAGCATTGATGCAGAGTAACTGGTCATTTGGTCTCAGCCTCCCATCCTGAAAATAAAAAAAATAAATAAAATAAAATAAAATAAAAATAAATAATAATCAAATAATAATAAATAGTAATAAAATGAAATAAAAATGTAATTAAAATATGTTTGAAAAGTGATTAAGTAGTGTGTCAAAATTAAAAAAGAAATAGATAATTTTATCTGATCCCACTTAAAAAAACAGTATGAACATTGACAAAGTTAAGAAATGAAAATCATTATCAGCCTGTAACAGTATATGGCATGCTTAAGCACACTATACAGCTGCTATGTGGTGTATCAAGCAGAGTGATAAAAGCTGACAATGCCTAGATTAAGTGTAATTTGTAAGTAAAACACATCTTTTGAAAACTCTCATACCAAAATTGAGCTGTCTATGTTTAGGTAAATGTATTATTTATAAGGGTTTAGATATTTTTAATTATTTTTATTTCACCTTTCTGTAATGAATGTTTCTGAATCTTTGCTAATATTTATTTAAATATTTTTATACATTCAATGGGAACCCACACCGAATTTGAGCTGAATGCGGTTGGCTTAATGGTCAATTTCAATACTCGATAATGTTGCTGTCCATTTTGTATTTGTAATACGGTATGTACTTAAGATTTATACAATGTACAGTGTATACAATGGCTCGTGTGCACTATAAAGAATCCTGTACATCCTTCGAGACCCCAGTGTACTGGAACAGACAGCCCCTGTAGTGGACGACGAGAGTTGCTGGTACCGGGTTACCGGGTAGCACAGACACGAAAGGACCCTTAGGGGCGAATTTGGTCTCAGCCTCCCATCCTGAAAATAAAAAAAATAAATAAAATAAAATAAAATAAAAATAAATAATAATCAAATAATAATAAATAGTAATAAAATGAAATAAAAATGTAATTAAAATATGTTTGAAAAGTGATTAAGTAGTGTGTCAAAATTAAAAAAGAAATAGATAATTTTATCTGATCCCACTTAAAAAAACAGTATGAACATTGACAAAGTTAAGAAATGAAAATCATTATCAGCCTGTAACAGTATATGGCATGCTTAAGCACACTATACAGCTGCTATGTGGTGTATCAAGCAGAGTGATAAAAGCTGACAATGCCTAGATTAAGTGTAATTTGTAAGTAAAACACATCTTTTGAAAACTCTCATACCAAAATTCACATTCAATGGGAACCCACACCGAATTTGAGCTGAATGTGGTTGGCTTAATGGTCAATTTCAATACTCGATTATGTTTGTGTCCATTTTGTATTTGTGATACGGTATGTACTTAAGATTTAATAATTAAAAATAAATATGCTTTACCTTGGAAGCAGCTCCTCCATGAATGACTGATTTGATGAATATGCCCAGGTCCTTGGTTTCACCATTACTTCCGGTACCAGCTGTCTTGCCTTTGACGCTGACCCCTAGACCTGCTGACCCTGTATCATTTAACTCAATGTCAAAGTTCAAAATTTGTTTGTTCTTGGTTACGGTTTCGTCAATGTTGCTTGCCTCTTCGATAGGCTAAGAAGTAATACAGTACAAAAATCAATCATTAATGAATGCTATAAAATTTATAATTTTTAAATGAAGTGAAAATATTTGTTAAAATTGTTCCACTAATAAATTTTTATCAAAATCATTAAAAAGTTTTCTATCAAAAACAAATGCCTTTCCAATAACGAACGTTTCTATTACATGATGCATGATAAAGATGTGGTATTAACACATTCACTGCCAGGGACGCGAGTTCACATCTGAGAGAGTTCACGTCAGACAGGGTTCACTCAAGGTGCTAGGACGTGAGTTAACGTCCACACCTCTCTAAATAGACAACTATAATATATTTTGCATGTAAACCCATTGGGAGCGGCTGCCAGAATATGAACTCTCGCCCTGGAGGTTCAGGGAAGAAGCCGGAAGCAACGATCTAAAAATCAGTAACATACATTAATAGTTCGTGTTTCATTCCAATTGATGGGAACGATTTTAATTATGGTGGCACCAGTGTATTAAGAAAAAAACAAATGGCACAATACTAAATATGAACATTGGATTTTTAAGGTACATACAATTCCATAATATGACACCCATCACACAGTACATAATTTTATCCAGTACATAATGTATCTTAGTACAGCGTTCCGCAAACTTTTTACTTCACAGCCTATTTACAATTCCATGCACAAAGCAGCGCCAGGCCCCAACATTACAAATCCTGGCAAGAACTTTTGATCATGAAGCCTCCATGTATATACATTATTTTGACATCATTATCTGTTCTCTCAGTGATAAAATTTCATTGTATACAGATTAAATGTTATTTTATTAAATAAATAATACCGTAAATTTGTGTTCCCCCTCCCCCCAACAATTTTTGATTTTTTTTTTCTACCATGATTCAACCAAACATGGTTCAGCCACAGACATCATAGCTTTCTCCTTCTTCCAAAAACTTTTATACACACTCCGGAACTTTGAAAGACTACCTTACTATACAGGTATTATGTTTAGTAATAAAGTATTCATATGGGCATTCGGTTATCAAGAACTGTGTGGTGTTGTTTACCGTAGTGATCTTTCTTGGACAGGTCTTTCTCCCGAGGGGCATAGACACAAGAAACCGCTTATAACTCAAATAGTTATCTGGCATCGGACACTTTAGCAGCGTGTGCAAGCGATGCATTCGCTGTATCAATGAAGAAGCTTTATTATAAATTATTTTCTCCATGATGAAACGTCTCTTTGTTATTTTTTTTTTATTTCCAGACGGCTTCGCAGCCCTCCAAAAATGTTTGCGGAACGTCGTCTTAGTAGAATGATGACCAATTTTATGCCTGCCACTGTTCTCCTAATAATTAAGATTTGGCTTGCGCTTCATAACTGCAAGGGAAAGGTGCAATACAAATACCCAGTACCAGTACCAGTTAGCACATTATGATTATGCATACAAATTAAAAACTTAGGAACTGGTAGTAGTTCACTTACCCTTGGAAGAAATTTACTTGGGGAAGACTCTTGCCTGGAGACAACTAGATTGACGACACCTCCCAGCTTTACACTACGTAATATTGATACGGCTTCCACCTGAGATTTACCAGTCATTTCTATGCCATTCACCTGTGAACAACAAAATATATTGTGGATATTTAACATTATAAAAACAATAGAAATATTTCCTCTTTATCATCATTTTCTATATCTGTACCAATACTTGTACTAGACCCCATAGTGGAGTATAGAATGCTAGCACAAATGCATGGATATTGTGATACTTGACCAAAATAATAATTTTTTTAAATTTTTTTTTTTTTGGGAAGGGGGATCAGACACTAGCCACTGAGCACAAGCTTGGTGATCTAGTGGTTATGACACCAGACAAGTTATCTTTAAAGGTTGTGGGTTAAAATCCTTCTCAAATTACTTGCGAGATTGCTTTCGCAAGCACTTGGGAACCAACTGAGCATTCTGTATAAAAACACAACAACAGGGCAAGACATGACTCCAAATAATATTTTTTTTATTAAAATTTATAATATTGGCCTACTAAAGATATACCTAACCTAATCCAACATAAAAAATTGAATAAACTTAAATAATAGAATATATTATTATTTTATTGATTACTTGGAATATTTTTAGAAATTTCAATTGAAAATAAGAACATAAATCATTGTTCTCTCAAATTATAAGATGAATAAGTAATATTGTCACCATATTCCCAACAGCCTCATAAATTTGTAGTTTAATAAATTTTGAAGTGGTCTAATTAAATCAGCAATAATTGGATTGTTTAGATAAGTGCCTCTTACATGATGGACTTTTGAAATAAGCAGATTCAACATTTTTTTCTATTTAATGTTCAGAATTTTACTGCTTTAGCCTTGTCACAAGAAAAAACAGTTAACAGCAATTTAGTTTGCAAACCTCTCATGAAGAAACTTAGCCATCTGGCTCTCCTTGCAGCTACACTATTTGGAATGCCCACCACAGCGAAACCTGGGAAAACTTTCCCTTCTTAGAATAATGTTTTTTGTCAATTTGTTTCTTACCCTGCATATGTTTAGAAACCCCTAATCATGACCTGGGTTTTGTGTATACATTATTTTGTCACTGAATAAAGAATGATGGAAAAAAAAAAAAAAAAAAAATATTGCCACTGACAAGGATATTGTCTTTTTTGTCTTGTGTATGTTTTTAATGAATTATGGTGAAATAAATGAAATGAAATTAGGGTATTTCAGATTTCAACATAGGCAGTATATACTAAATCAAGATTTCATCCCAAATTAATTTTAATAAACGCATATTTTTTCTGATTCTTTTTCACACATCTGTAGTAATATTTACTAAAAAAAAAATATTTGCAAACATGTAACATTTGATGGATGACAATTGAACCGAAACCATCTGTCTGTACAGGGTTCGTAAATAAGAAAATTTGTAATTCAAAGAGTTCAAATTTTCAGCATCTCAGTGTGGTGAGGGTAGGCCTAGGCCTATGCTACAAAGTACAGTACAGTACTGGGATAGTAGGCCTAAGCCTTGCCATGGAGAGAAATTTTGTCACGAAATATGACTTGGACTTTACTGTTTTCTGCAGCAAAGTAATGCTTCACTGAAGCCAAAATTACATGTGCTCACTGTGAAGTATTCATTTGAAGTGATTTCCAAAAAAAGACATGACCATATAATGCCCAAAACGAGTGTTATTATCCTTTTCATAAAGATTGCCAATCCATGCAAATCCAAAGATCAAAAAGTGAGATTTACTGTACAGTATGCCTGAACAAGCATGCACAGCTAAAATATAACATATCTCAGCTGAAAACAATTGATATTTCTTGCTTTAAACTTAGCTTTATATCACTTTATTGGTTTGAATGTTTTGTTACTTAGCTGATGTAACAAATTAAATCATTTCTGAAGACTTTTAAATACATTTTAAAGTGTTTTTGCACTTTTAAAAAATTGTTTGTAATGACATCATCTCCGCAAATTTGGTTTGTAAAATCGATAGATCGTAAATGGGAGGTTTGTAATTGAGAGGTGTTACTATATACCACATTATATTAAATAAAAATGTAATAAACATAGAATTTCAGCTATGGAATTAACATTCATATATTTAGAGCGTTACTAACCTCAAGCAGACGATCTCCAGCTTTTAACCGTCCATCAGCTATGGCTGCCCCCTTAGGCAGAATGTTCTTAATGTAGATAGGGTTGTTCCCAGCACCACTATTGTCCCTTGTAGTTACACTAAAACCCAAGCCTTGTGGACCTACAAAAACACATATATACATCTTTCATTGAACAATGGTATTGTAAAGTTTAACAGGATAGGGTGGTGGTAATGACTTTAGAAGCTGTACATGTGGAGAAAGTACATCACTAAAACCAACAACATATGCAAAAAAAATTAAAATAAATCTGTTTCCTAATTTTGAGGGTTGTGATCGCATTCCTAATGGATTTATCTTGTATCAATTTAAACCCAACTGCAATCAGAAATGCAAATTATAGAATATGCTGATTTTGGATTGGTCAAGGAAGCCAATGGTTTATCTGTAGCTTAAAACACAACAGAACCACTTGCGTTTCTTACATCAGGAACCCAAGGTTTTTGCACTTCAGTGCACACATGCTGATTCACCATACTAATTTGTATATACTTTTTATACTGTATATTTATTTTTAGACAATTGCATAATGCTGGATATTGCAATACTGCAGTACACCTCACTATCATTATTCCTTTTTTTCTGGGTGCATAAACCTTTTTTTTTTTTATTAGCATATACTTCTGTACAATTTTAATGACTTTTACAGTATATAAAATATATCACGTTTATATTCTTTATTTCAAAATTATCCTTTTTAAAAAAATCTATAATAATATCTAGTTACATTAATGTTTAGCAAATATTTTAATATTATTTATTTTTGTTTGGGTCACTTTTAAAGTTCAGTGCTGGAAAAGTAGTTCCTTGGCATCTTGCCACTCCTTACCAATGTCAGTGTCTATTTTTATTACATTTATTTACCATAATAATAGTAATAATAATAATAATAGGTCGATTTATAAGGCACAAATAAACAAGGTCTCTAAGCCCCATGTGCAACCAAACAAAAAGTCAAGGTGAAAGTAATAAAAAGTAAGAAAAAAATGATGCAGAAAATTCGAAGAACAGAGAAAAAAATGAGAAGACTATCTTAAAATTAACCAAAAAATGAGAACTACAAAAACAGAATATTGCAGGGAACCAAAAAACCATTGCACCATTTCTTTTGCAATTTGAGATCCACTGTTAAAACAGTGGTCAGCAGTCATTACTCACAAGGCCTGCGCTCTAATGGTGCTGGTATCTAACTAGTCTATCAACAACAAAAAAACAGGCGAGAAATAAAAAGAAGAAAATTCACTGGAGAAAACAACAATAAGAGCACAAAAAGGCAAAAAGGGGTTTTAAGCTGCTTTGGCCAACTAAGGAGACTACTAATAGTATATATGCATAATTGGGTTATGTTTTGGAGTCATTGCTTGGTTAAAAAAAAAAAAAAATTGTAGTGCTACTGTTACTACAATATTACTATTACAATACCTTTCATTAACTGAATGTATAATTTTCTCCCAATCCGCCTCGTATTTGTTGGCGCAATAATATTTTTTACTCTTGTAGGTGAAGCAGGATCAGTTGAAAGTGTGGTCGAGGGAGCTCTTACAGGAACTTCAGGCGGTAAATCAGAATCAATACCATTAGTCATAGGATGATTCTGTTCCTCATCTTCTTCAGACTTTTCTCGTTCAATTTTTAAAGATACAGAAGAAACTTTCATAGCTTCCTTCATTAAGTCTTGAGCACTAGTAGGAAAAGATTTTAATAAGTAATGTTGATTATTAATTGGTTACAAGTTTAAATAATTCCTCACTTGTCCTAATTCAACTTTGTAATTGGAAATTTGGGCAGGGCCCTTTGGAAAGCACCACTTATCAACCCTCAAACTAGAACATGTAATGGAAAAAGACATATAAATACATAGTTGTTACCCACCCTAATCCAGGGGTCTCAAGTTGGAAGAAATCCCTTCAAGAATATCTGGTTAAATGAACTTCCTTAACATATATAATTTTATTTAGTTTTGCACATGGTGATACCCGTCAGCACTGACTTCTGTGAGACAACTGATAATAAAGTAGCACAAACATTCAAACATTATGAATTTGCAGGATATGGGCTTTATTCTAAGAGATTCTTGCTTGCTTGCAGAAGTGCGGGAGGCCTCCCCCATTTCCAGGAGATTCCCATGGCTTCCGAGAGACTTAGGACCTCAGTCTAATCTCATATGAGGTTTATTTAAGGAGCTGATCTCCAGTAGCAGGAACCTTACCACTTGGATAAACGTTTACCTTTAAACCATATTATATTATGAATCTGATAAACACCTTATACTCCTTTATTGGTTTATAATGGAGAAAATAATAATTTAATGTAACATCACACCGGAGTATGATAAGTGATAAGCAATAAGTAACAGTTTCTCAAGAACATCTCTCATCTATGATGTACACACATCCCTGTGGTGCTCACATCCACTAGATGGCCTATACATCATGGATATAGTCATCTCACAGAGCATACTGTATCAGAGATGCAAGCATTTAAAAAAAGTGAATGTGAACATGTGGACGCAAGAAAAATCAACAATGCAGGAATCTCATGGACAAGAGCCAGTTGCAGATGAGGGGATCTCGTAAAACTAACTTTTTTTCTTTAAGGTCATGCTGTTAGAGAACAAATTTAAATTGTAATAATAAAAGCAAAGCTTTAGTATAATAGCACTTGATGTGATGATGGTGTGACGATGTTGATGGTAAACATACTAGAGGTGATGATGAATCATGACAGCACTGGACTGGTGATGAATATATTATAAATACCATAATATAAATAAAAACAACATAAAATATCTCTTTTGGTTAGTTTTAAAATAACATATAAAATGTATTAGTAAATTCTAACTATGATCCACTATTGTAGCAAAAAAAAATATTTTCTCATAAATCTAAAAAAAAAAAAAATTGCTTGTATTCAGAAACAAAATAAAATTCTGCCAAACTCAAAAAAAGCTGCAGTAGAGTAATAAAAACAAATAATAATTTTTTGTGGTGGGGTTCTGTTTGTTATCCCCTGTATTCACCAATCTCACCTGTCGAAACTTTCATCAAAGATGGGAAAAGCATCAATAGCAATGATGTGATCACCCGGCCTTAGTCGGCCATCCCTCGCCGCTCGACCGTTGGGTTCTATGTCATGCACAACCATACCAAAAGCGCTAAAGCAATAACGTGTAGTTAGATATATCACATGTTAGTCACACAAGGATATCATCTTGATAAACGGGTTGATGAATTTGACTTTTACTCAATGAGATATTTTATTTTTATGCTTCTTCAATGCTTCATTATTAAAATAAATGCAATAATCTATGAATTAATTATATTCAATGAATAAAAATGATTAAAATTTATGACTATATTATAAAGTAGTCTCAATAGTCATAAAGTATAATTACAAATCAATATTCAAGGACAACACCTAAAAATTATGAATCATATCTAGTCTTGATAATAAAAATTAAACTTCATACACATGCAGTTTTGAAATATTATTATTATTATTATTATTATTATAAAGTGCACAAAAGTTTTCTTTCAAGAAGAACACAGCATTTGTTCTGACCAAGTAGTAGTTAGTTATTGCTGTAGTTTATCCGTTAATTTAGCAGATTTTCATTACCTTTGATAGGGCTCAATGTATTTTAGCATTGTGGTTAATAAAAAGAGTATGAAGTTAAAAAATATCAACCCATTTATTGTAGCAGTTATGATATAATACGGAGCATGAGCTAAATTTTGCAGACAATACACACTATAGTCTTATATTGCATAGGTGGCAATATTTTGCAGGTGGCCCTATATTGTACAGGTGGCCAAAGACTGCATATTTTTGCCATACAATGCACAGGTAGTCATATTACACAGGTGTCAATATGCTCATTTGGCATTTTGTTGCACAGGAGACCATTGACATGCAAGGTACTATTGCACATGTGGCCATTTTTTTACACAGGTGGATATAAACTGTACAGGTGGCCATTACATTAATTAATGAAGGAATAACCATGAATGAAATGATATTGATGGACATTCATGAAGACATTATTGGATATGGTGTTGGAATACTAAGAAATTTTAGATGTGACTAATTGTTAAATGTATTTGATAAAAACATGCCATGGTGATGACTTGCGCTTATATTAAATGTCACACTCATAAAAATGGCAGTTCCAAATGTTCATGAAAATAAGTTAGGATTAGGCTAAATTCATCCTGATGTTTACATAAACATACTGTGCCGTCTATTCTTGTGATTGGATGTGATGTAATACCTCTTTTACATCACATAGCTGTCATGTAACTGCCGGTTTATTAATAACAATAATAATATTAAGATTAATAATAATTTATAAAGCAGATGCCCATATATTAACATTAGCCTTAAGGAACTATATAAATATAATACACTAATTGTTATTGTTAGTATTAATATTATTATTAATCTAGAAGACACACTGTTGACTAAAATTTCTCTCAAAAACTATTAAAACATTGAATTGCTTATTCAAAATTGATCAAATAAATTATTAAAATTCAATTACAAACAGATCAAAATAAATAATTTTACACTGATTTATATGAAAATCTTTAATTGATTATTAAAATATTTAACAAAAGAATTTATACGAATATAGAAATATTATCTTTGAATCTGAACTGTTTTTCTCATTATACTTTTTCAATTGAAAGCTAATAACATGCTATATATATATATATATATATATATATATATATATATATATATATATATATATATATCCTATAGTCTGGACAGGACTTAATACATTTTAAATTAAGCAATTCAACTGTGTTAGTTTGAACAGAGTGTATCTTTAAAGTTAAGCAACTTTTAAATCCTTAAGCTGGATACACACTATGTAGGCCGACAGACATCGGTGTAATTGCAAGGAGAACACAATGTTGATTCTTTCTGACTGCCAACGACAGTCAACAGATAATGTTGTATTGTGAATTACTAACACAGAGTGGAGATATACTCATTGGCTCACAATGATGCAGTGTGTGTCCAGCTTTATAAATAGTTAGAATAAATATGCTAGAAGCTTAATACAAAAAAAATGTTGTTACCACAATCAATTATTTTTTGCCAAACATACCTGCCATCAGCATTTTCTACAAATGGAACTATGTGGACACCAAGTGGAGACCCATCATTGCTGATGTCAATTACTTTTGTTTCCATTTCGACAGCTGAGGAACTTGACTTTGAGCTCTCTCCAACAGGTTCTGTCCGATCGTCACTCTAAAATTAAAGTGTTTTAGGCATAAAACAACTATATAGCATAACAAGTAGCAAGTATAATTAGTACTGTAAATATATATAATTAAACATTCATTTACTACTACTTACATAGTCACACACATTTCACTGTGTATATACAGACAATAAATTAATTGAATCTGAAACACAGTATTCTATTCTATAAATCAATACCCTCTCTACAACAGGACCTACAGTATGCCACCAAGGAAACAAACTAAAACAATTCCTTATTTTACCCAAGTCTAAATCAGAGGACTACTATTCACATAAAAATTACATATTTTATGTAATAAAATTTAATATCATACCAAAATACATAGTTTAATTTTATTCATTGTTTTTCACCAATGAATCCAAGTATGTATCACTATCCATAACAAATTTCTAGAAAAGGCAAATCCTTATTTAATTGTTTTGATTTTACAAAACTACAATCTTATATTTAGCATGGTGCTACATATGACCATTGTAATATGATTCTTAGTAGTGATCCTCTAGGCTTCAAGCTTAAGACTATGAGTTGAAGTCACATGTGCAGATCACCACATTGCCTGAGTCATTGGGCTTAGGACCTGTATTCACAAAGGATCATGAATTCTCACTGGTATTTCAATGTATCAAATCTTTATTCTGAAATTCTTTATTATACTGGGTGGTCTATTCAGTAGATAATTATTTATCTCTCAAAGGGTACATATCAATGTAAATCTATGGCATTGCTAGGACCAATTAGCCTTCTACAAGTTAATTTTTCCTTTTTTAGTTTCTTTTGTATCCAGTAGCAAGTCCATTCATCAAATACAGAATGGACCTATCAATCAATCAATCAATCAACCAACCAACCAACGTGGATATAAGTGCCAATATCCAAGGCAGAAAACTATGGTCAGTGGCGTTATCACTTTGGCATTTCTCATGTAATGAGATTATTATGCTGTGCTTGATAAACTACTTAAGCCGGTCTCGCACGTTGCGATTTTGCTTACCATAATCTGCGCTATGACATTTATGACTACAATTTTTTGAACATGTTCAAAATTCTACGATACAGTACGCTTCCATATGACTATCCGTGTTGTGTCGTATACCGTACATAATACCTGTCACACCCTGCCCCAACTCCCACACACCAGACAATTTTAGACTGAGCATGTCGTAGCGCAGGTTAAAGCAAACATCATCGCAATGTGTGAGACAAGCTTTAATCATCAAAACCACCAAACAACACACAGCTCCACTCTGTTCACAAAGTTTAGCAGCTAATTTTCATGTTAACTCACCTGATTGGATTGTTGCGTACTAATGAACTTATTGATTGCGGTACCAGTCATCGATTGCCTCTTGGAGTCACGTCCGAACCGTGAGAATGCGCTATTTGAATCTAGACCGTCAAAGCTGCTTCTGGCTTTACTTAGCCTCTCGAATGCTGACGGTGCCTGATGATTAAGAATACAGAAAATGTACTTGAAAGTATTTCCAATGAAATGTTAAAGCACGGAACAAGAGCTATGCAAAGTTTCCTATAATTATTTTAAATTTATCTTCTTTATGCCCTTTTCATACAGTAGATTCTTAAAAAACTTATATATTCAAAATACTCCATTAGAATTGGCAACAAAGCTGATCCCAATTGTAAAGTTACTGTGCACAACAAGTTTTTTCTTGACATCAGAAGGCTTTTTAACTCTTGGAAAAACCATAAACTGAACTACCATCTGCCTTGTCCATTAAACCTTACGGTGACACACAACATTATTGAACACGATTCCAGAAAGCATATAAATTTGGGTTAAAAAAAAAAACATCCGATCATCTGTATAGATCATTTGCACCTCACGTAATATCTCCATAATCTATTTCAGTTTTCAAGCACGTTATAAGATAAGTGAGAAAGCATGGAAACATGCTATTTCACAATACTACAGAGCTGGACACTCCTAAACATTTAAAAGTAATTAATAGTAAATTTTTATTCTATTTGTTGCATTCTGTATTTGGCAAGTCTCCTGTAAGTTGGACGTGAAAGGAATAAAATGAAAGAGCTGTTAACAAAAAAAAAATAACAGTATAATTCAATATATTGTATTAAATGCTTGCGGTACACCACGTAGATAGTTGTGAAAATAACTGTTGTTTGTTGAGAATGTCTCAACATTTCTATTGAGTTGCTTCAATCGTCTTGAAGACAGAACATCTGTCAGATATAATATCAGATAATATTCTCCTGAAGACGATTAAAGCAACTCAATCTACAAAGTCAAGACATTCTCAACAAACAAGTTTCTTTTCTATTTATATGGTGTACTGTACCTCAAGCATTTAGTATATTATTACTTCGCCATGCAAACCTTCAAACGATTTAATTCAACTTACATCTTTGTCAAGCTCATCAAGAATTTCACCTGATCCCCATCTTTCCTCTTCTCTATGATGCTTACTATTATTATTCTCACTGTATGTCCGCACAGGTTCACTTCCCCTCCTTACATGCAAAGTAGTACCTAAAACATAAACCACACATAATTAACGTTCCACTTTCAGAACTTGTATTTTCTATTCCACACATGTACATTGAATAGGCTAGCTCTACATACATTGATACATTACACTGGACAGTAGTTTACATAAAACTGTATTGGTTCATTTAAATCATTTTTATGTTAGATTTTACATGCAAATTCAGACTAAACAAGTTTTGTCTGTTCAAAGCAACAAAATGTCAAAATACACTACAATCTAAAGTATAAACTTGTACATGACATACATTTTCGGTTATGGTATTACAGTAATAAATAGCAAGGAAATCGTAAAAATATTTACAATGCGGTAGTGTGTTTGTTTGTATTTAGTACTACTGTTGTATAGTACTCCTCCAAAGGTTCTTAATGTGTTTTAACCTCTTGTTAATAGATGCTCCTACAACAACTGTAAGCCTACAGCCTAAAGCCAGATGGTAACTTCAACAATTTACTCTAACACAGATTTACATTACCAATTCACCTTCTACATACACATAAGTCAACATGCATAAAATAAGAATTCCGTCAACTTCAGTTTGTTTTCCAGCAACAACAAAAATATTTCCACCAAATGTTTACAATTCTACCTATCAGATGGTCATGACTACGACTACCGTATTCCAGAGAATTCTACCGTATTACTTGCTACTGCTTAGTAGAAGTGGAAGAGTTTTTGTTCTTGGTATTTGTTAGTATGAATTCCTTGTGATTTCCTGTTTTTCCCCTTGATTGCACTATCTATATCCTTTCAGTGCTGGTACTTAGTCTTAATAATCTATCTAACACTATAGACACCTATCAATAAGACCCCATAGCTACTGCAAACTAAGTGCTTTAAACCTATTTCAGACTAAAGACATATCAATAAGAGCCCATAGCTACCGCAAACCTTTAAACCTATCTGACACTCTAGCTATAAATAAGACCCACATAGCTATTGCAAATGTAACTTTTTAAGACCTATCCCACAATATAGATACCTACTAATAAGACCGCATTGCTACTGTACTATAAATGTGGCAAAGACAAGCCAAACCAGACACCCGTCGCAAACCTGTTTCAGAGATAATAGCTAAAACATGCTGGAATTTTATTACACTAAACTAACCTTTACATATCTATATATCATTCTATGTTGTTATTTTTCTAATTTTCAATGTTTAAAAAACAATTTTTAACGATTTGGTGATGGTTTCTGCCTAAGAAATGCCCAAAATCATAAACTTTGAAGGCCGATATCTCAAATATTGTTTTTTAAACAGCTGTATGTTTAAACTCCAGTAACTTCATAAGGAAATGTTGGATTTAAATGACTCTTTTACCATTTTATAGCTCTCATTTTATAGTTTAACCATGTATTAATAACTAAAAATCAATTTTTGCGACCAGTGACTGGTTTGGCTTGTCCTTGTCACAAATGTACCTTTAAACCTATCCGACACTCTAGCTATAAATAAGACCCCATAGCTACTGCAAATGTAACCTTTTAAAACTTTCCCACACCATATATACCTACTACAGTAATAAGACCTTATTGCTACTGTACTATAAATGTACCTTTAAACCTAGCTTTATAAGACTCCATACTATAGCTACTGCAAATGTAAACTTTTAAAACCTATCGCGCACAATAGATACCTACTAAGATCTCATAGCTACTGTACTGTAAATGTACCTTTAAACTTATACCACACTATAGATACCTACTGTATCAGTAAGACCCCATAGCTACTGCAAATTTAAGTAACTTTACCTATCACAAAATACAGACGTCTAATAACCTATCAATAACAACCCATAGCTACTTCAAGTGACTTTACATACCCCACTACAAAAACCAATCAATAAAAAATCGTAGCTAATATAAACAGTAAGCTAGAGCCTCAACTTATCCCACACAACAGTTCTAATAATAAGACCGCATAGCTACTGTATAGTCACTATTATCCCAGATCATTATCATGTAAATGCCTTAAACTATACAAGACCATAGAATACCTATAATAAAGATATGACACTAGTATTCCTTGACTCATTAAATCAACACATTCTTCATCAATGACTTTTCTCTTTATGTGCAATTAGCTAATTTTAATCCCTTAATTACACTAAAAATATTACCACAGAACCCCTTGTTTTTGTCTGCAAACACTACAGCCAACTCCCACTCAGGAGACACTAATTTGGTCACGGAGATGTTCCTTTAACAAATAGGGTTTCTACTTTATTTTAAAATGATCCTTTTGTTAGATGTGTGTGTATACACAGTAACATTTATTATAATGAGAAAGGCAGACAGTAAGAGTGCTACTTTTAACTTCCAATCACAGATAATCCTGATGACATCAAATTCATTACCTGCATTGATGTGCTCATCTGTCACCACAACATCCATCTGATTGTGGTTATCATGGTCACATACATCACAACCATTAAAACTCTTGTTGCTGTTATTGGTGTTGATGATGTCTTCCGTGTGGAACATGTCCGGGCTGGCTGTGCCTGCTGAACTCGCACTTGTACCGTCCCCTATACTGTGAGTCGGCCTCGGACCATCCTGCTCCTCAAAGTTTGCTAACAGCTAGAATTAAAAAGAAAAGTAGTAATAAATTATCATAAAATTGATTAACAACAATCATTGAAAATTAGGCCAAGTAACAAAAAAATCCTTGTTCCACGTCGTCCTGGGGCGGATTGCTATAAGCGGTCTTTAGACGGTTGGTCTTAACTATTAGCCGGCTATATTCGTGACATCACTACTGGTCTATGATTATAGACCATTGCTATACCCCGATCTAACCGGTTAGCCATCTTAAATTTTAAAGCCTACTTGTCGGAGGCTTAAGACGGTCTTAAATCATTTTCATCATGGCGTTCTGCTTAATAAGACTTAGACCTAGATCGTCAATGTTCTGCTGATTAATCTAATAGTGCAATGGCAAGACCTAGATCATCAAAGTCGGAGAATCGAACGACAAATACTCCGCACACTTCTCAGCGTCTGCCAAAATAGGTCTACAGCGTTCATTTCAATACATTTGCATGCGTCGAGCACGCCTGACGTCGCCCTTAATCTTACATTACCAGTGAGTGCTTGTTTGCATTTCAATACTCAAAGCGGTCTTAGGGAAGATTGTTTTATAGCAATGGTCTTAGAGGAATGACTTTAGTAAGACCGTCTAAGTTATAAAGCGGGCTTTATTCGAGGAGTTAAGACTACCAGTTAAGACCGTTTTATAGCAATCCGCCCCTGGGTTTTTCAAAAGGTTTTGTGAGGGAGGCACTTATTATTTGATATTTTTTATTTTTCAAAGTTCGTCAAAATATGCCAAAGAATATTCTCTACGTAGCAAAATGTGTTGTAAACAATTTGTCAATAGTTTGTCATTGCTTCTCTCGCTGTTATCATGGTCTTTGTGTTTAAAAATGCATTTGTAAACTATAAAATGTGTCAGTGCATTAAAATTTTGCATTTTCGATAGAGAACAACCCCACAATTTTAAAAATAACAAAAAACAAAAAAAAAACTGATTCAGGCCCAAAAATTGATGAAATAGTCACTAATGTCCCAGATTAATAAATTTAAAATGTATATAACAAAATCAGCTAATAGTAATAAACATCATAGGACAACCCAATCAATCAATTTCAATCAAATAACCAATCAATCAATCAATCAATCAATCAATTATAATCACTTACAATCTAATTTTTGAATATTCTAATGATGCTGGTTTGAATGAAGATGATTTAAAAGATTATCACCTTTTAAATATTTGTCTACACAACTTCCTTTTATATATTACTTTCAATAAGTAATTCAGTTTTGTTTCCATTTTTACAGCTAATAAAAATGTGACAGGAACACACATATGATAACACATGTACAGGTATGATCATAGAGAAAATATTGTAGAAAATATTGTTTAATTTTCTCTATGGTATGATACACCCACCAGAACGATTATCTTGTGGGATATTGAATGACAGTGAACATAGAATGCATAAAATTTAATCCACATTTTATCAAAATTCACTGCCATATTAATGGATAAAAAATCTACAGAGCGTAGATTCTATAGTATATAAAAGTGTACTTTCCCTATCAGTTTCTGTGGAATGTTTCACCTATGTAATCTTGACAAGGATATAAATCATTCTCCAATATGAATGTAAGTAAACCTAAGACCATGTTCATTGTGTGAGATCACTGATCTGTTCTTGAACCCTTGAGTACATCCTTAATTGCAGCCTTATTAGAATAACAAATTTTTAAAAAATATATACATTTTCTATCTCTGTATATCAGAAGAATAACCATATTTTAAAAGATTATATTATGACTATCTGTGGTAAAAAAAAATACCCCACAAAAACTCCTCAGAGCCAGAAGTTTTATTAAATTTTAAGCTTTAATTTGAACCATGTTTAATAAAGGGTGAACCATTCAGTAGAAGCTGATCATTTGGGCAACTTAACATGTAATAATACAAACTACAAATAACATCTTAACTACCAATAAAACATCTTAACCTACCAATAAACAAGTCATCAATTGAGCACATTAAACCAATAAATTAATTACCAAATCAATGATTTACAGAATTTATAGTATGAAAATCCACAGAATTTATAGTATGAAAATCCACAATTACCAGCCAATAAAAGAGTCTACAGGTTTGCAAAGAATATAGGCTAATGGTATCATTCACCAATGAATCTAGATTGATACCATAAGAGCTAGCCATACAGAACTTAACTTAAGAATTTAAATACACAATGTGAACTATTGCTTAAGTTCAATAGCTTAGTAACACAGACTACATCTTTAGTAGAGAGATTTGATAGTAATCCACACAATACAAGTTTGTACTGTTGCGCTTTAAGGTGTGACAACAGTGCACACGTTGTCTGACAACCTGACACCTTAAACTGAATGATGTTACACAGGTAACCCGGCTCAGACCGAGAGGCGTTGATGGAATGAGAAGGAACTTAACAACGTATCATCACCTTTACCTGTTCAACTTAACAAAGGCATCAATTTTAGATTAGGCTGACTCACCAGCAATCTGATCTATTCAATTCTTTGATTTATTCTTAACTTAAACAATACACAATTGCAATAACATGTTTCTTTTACAAATCATATTTACTTAGAGACTGAGCTAAGGACTACTATATTATTGTAAATTTAATTTAGGCTACAAAACAAGTCTGATATTTTGAGCGGCATACCTATGGGGATATGGGCCATCCATAAGCAGGGAGAAATTATTTGCACCCCATGTTTTGCCCACTGAAAACATGACAACCAAATTAATTACAAACAAATAGTTAAAGGCAACCATTATTATTAGAGAAAGAAAATCACCTCATGTATTATTAGTATACCACACCTACAGGTATCATTCTTCCCCTTACCACATCGCTCCATGCTCTCCCCCCCCCTCCCCCACCATTGTGTCTCTCAACAATAATACACTAAAACCCTACCTTTGGGACACCACTATAAAAGGGACAAGAGGATAAATCTTTCAGCAAAGATGAGATGGAAAATACAGTATATTCTTTTTAACACTACAGTCAAATCCTATTCAGGGGATGTCCCTAGGGGGACACTGTTTGATTCCATCCAAGTGTGTCACCTATACCCAGGTTATATTCCAGCCTACAAAACACAGATGTTGACCATAACTTGCAACATTCAATACAACCATAAGTCACATGACTATTATATTCCAGCCTACAAAACACAGATGTTGACCATAACTTGCAACATTCAATACAACCATAAGTCACATGACTATTATATTCCAGCCTACAAAACACAGATGTTGACCATAACTTGCAACATTCAATACAACCATAAGTCACATGACTATTATATTCCAGCCTACAAAACACAGATGTTGACCATAACTTGCAACATTCAATACAACCATAAGTCACATGACTATTATATTCCAGCCTACAAAACACAGATGTTGACCATAACTTGCAACATTCAATACAACCATAAGTCACATGACTATTATATTCCAGCCTACAAAACACAGATGTTGACCATAACTTGCAACATTCAATACAACCATAAGTCACATGACTATTATATTCCAGCCTACAAAACACAGATGTTGACCATAACTTGCAACATTCAATACAACCATAAGTCACATGACTATTATATTCCAGCCTACAAAACACAGATGTTGACCATAACTTGCAACATTCAATACAACCATAAGTCACATGACTATTATATACCAGCCTACAAAACACAGATGTTGACCATAAGTTGCAACATTCAATACAACCAAGTCACATTACTATTATATACCCCCCCCCCCCCACATCTAGATGTGTATAAGAGACCTATACAGTACTGTAACTTGCAACATTCAATATAAACTTTAGTCACATGACTATTATACACCAACATACAAGACACATATAATATGTTTGTTGACTATAACTTTCAACATTCAATACTACCCTTACCATTTAGTCACAAGACTACTGTCAACACAAATATACAAGACACAGTTGTTGACCAGCGTTGTGTCTACTGCATGATCCGCTGCTGATGATCCGATCACATGAACCGCATCAGTGCCTACTTAGCCCAACAGGTGGCTACCTCCAATAGTGCTTCTTAAATCCATTACTAATAGTTTACTTCTGAACTTTTAATTTCTCACACATCGTTGCATGAGATGTTAACAGCGCATTCCATTAATAGATAAGCCACGTATCTTAAGTCTTATGAACGAAACAGGTCAAACAAAACTATTAAGATGGTGGTTGATACCAAGTTACCACCACTGGTGATTATCAAACCTGATAGTATAACGAGAAATTTGATATTTTCCTCAGCCCCATGACATCTTTTAAAAAGTGGCTACCTCTAATTATCTTCATTAGAAAACAGTTTATTATGTAAAACTTTACCTGACATCTCTACATTTTGTGGTTTCTGATATTTCTTAGAAGTAGTAAGAATCTATTCAGCTGTTTGTAATCAAAATAGATTGATGCTGTATTAAATATAAAAAAAAAATTCCGACAAATTGAAAAGCTACAGTAACTAACAGCGAAGTAATTTGTCAAATGTAAACAATTGATATTTTTAGTGAACAAAGAAAGGTATTCATAATGTATTATCTACCTTATATTCCTTAGGTGAGACTTTTTTTAATATTCCTTGTTTTACGTACTTAGTTTTTTAAAGATCATCAGAGGAGAACAAAATAAAAATAAAATTTTGTTTCTTTATTTAGCAAATAGTTTTGCCAAAAACATCCAGACAGACGAGAAAATAAAAATAAAATTGTATTGGTAAATGTAAAATATTTAGGTGGTTAAATGCTTCAAATTTATATAATTAGGAAGAAATCATATCTTTGGAGATTTCAAGGCAGCGGAGGATGTAATAAAAATAAAGAAAAACTTTTATTTTTTTCTGAAATTTCCACTTTTTCATGGAGGCGGGTGCGCTAATTGGCCTAAAATAAAATTTTATTTTTATTCGCAATCATCAATATTTGCAGTCGGCGGGTTAATTAAACAAGGTACAAAAAAAAGTCTCGCCTTAAGATAAAGTATTCAAATAAAAGTTTCCTTCCAAAGATATTATTTTCCTCCTCCAAATCAATTCCAAATACCCTTTCATTATCTTCTCTTTCTTTAACTTAGATATCAACATTCCACAACTGGTCAAAACTTGCAGGTTTGTTTACAGTTCACTAATTACAGGCATTAATTGCTATAACATTACTTAAGGATCACTTGACCTGGTGACCATTTTGAGTACGCCAAAGTACATTGATTTTTTGAAGGATTGAATTAGATGCCAAAGTCAATTTGTAAATCAGACATTAATTCTACAGATGCTGTCATTTGGAGACTTATACACAAGGAAAATGCAGAGTAAACAACTAAGATCTGTATTTTACTTATCTCACACCTATTCCACCAAATGTCAAGTTAATAGTAGTTATCATTAATAATTAATCATTATACAGTAGTTCTATACAGTCTTCAATAGTATAAAAAGACAAGTAAAGATAATGCTGGTAATCATTCACTTACTGAAGATTTAGCTTTAGAATCTTTAGTTACTTTAAACTGCAACATTTCAATTCTGTATAGTTGACACTATTCCTTTGACAACAATAGCATTTGACGTTGTCAGACCACCATTACCAAATCTTAAAACACCTTGCTTGCATGAGATTAGACTCTTGGAAAATTAAAAATTCCATTAGATAACGGCATAAATATCAGCCAATTTGTTAGCAAAACTAATAGATACAATCACTCAGCTACGTAATTCCTACATTGGAACAGACGTGTGCATTAATATTCCGACATCCATTTTTACGACGACGAAGTGAAACTAACCAGACAGGTTCTACCAGTCAATAATCTCCCAAGGCATTGTTACCTTTTTTGACGTTTCAATGAGGTCTTTGAAGGGAAGGCAATGTCATTACCGATTCACGAATAGCTATTTTTTCCAATCTCAATAGATTGTTTAGAAACTTTGGAATAAGGATAAAGCAATTGAGTGTCTGTACAAAGGCATCTAGCCTTGGATTTATAAGACTTTCTATCATTTTACAAACATGGAAATTTGCATAATCAACTAATCCGTGTTATTGATGAAGTAATCTTTAAATATTTCAATTGGTTCATAATAAGTTCATATTATTATTTAAAAAACGTTAAGTTAAAAATACAAAAAAAAAAAAAAAAAAAAAAAAATACATCCCACATTACATTCAATATTTTTATTATCATTAATATATTGATTAATTGAATGATTAATAGATTTCAATTAAAAATTATTTCTAAAGATATTTCAAATTTTTAAAAAATAATTAAAACTCCTAAAGAGGAAAACAGAATATATAAAACAATGATAAAAACAATAAATGATTCTGTGGAATACTGTATGAAAACTAATGACAGTGTTAACATTTATGCAATGATTTTTTATGACAATAAACAATAATTAAAATGATAATAATTATTAAGCAATTAATAAAGAGGTCGGGATACCTTTTCTCGATCATCGGCAACATCTACAACCAGGTCATCGGAGTCTAGTATACCACCATCACTGATGCTTTGCACACTATGGACCGTGATCCAATAATTTGAAGTCTATAAAAACAACAAAACAAGGACAATGTATAAAATGTCATTAAATGTTTAGCTGTAGGAGATCATAAGTTATCTTTGTTTTATAAGGCTCAGACAGCAGTGGTAACAACAGACAAGATAATGTATTAGTTGTAGTGATGAGTTGCTGATGATTGACAGTGGTACAATGACAATAACGTGATCAGAGTCAACCAATGATGAAGGTTGATGACGAGTATGATTAATAACAATCATAAATGACAATCACGATGATTATCAGATCCAGATCAGTACAGATGATCAATGGTGATGATAATGATGACATAGGATGATAAGGCCTAATACAAAAATTATTAGTTTATCACCCTCGCCCACATGTCTTCTATGGTATTGAAAAAAAAAACATGTTGGGAAAAAAAAAAATTTTTTTTCCCCCATTTTATTTAGTACTGTAAATACCGGCACTGATAATTAGTAGGTATTTGTTGTCTTTATTATCTAAATCATGTATTTTACTTTGAATATCAATGTTCCAGCAGACAACCAAAGGGTGATTTGGCTTTAGAAAAATAAAAAATAAAAAGCCTTCCTTCTTCATCACTTTTGCAGCCTAAATAAACTAATCATTTTTTTATTGGGCCTAATCATCATGCTAAAGATGCTGATCAATAATGATGACGATGATGATGGTGATTAATGTTCATGACAGAAAAATTAAATCACCATCCTTCCTCTTTAATATTCTACCTGACACTCTTCAAACATTTAAATAAATTTTGAGCAAAATAATACTCAAAACTAAGCCAATTAGACTATTATTACAAGCAAGCCCCATGAGGGAGCTGTGGTTCAAGTAAAACACTGCCCTCAATAGTCAGTGAAGCACATCCAAGCCATGAAATTTACACAATGTGTGCTAAATAATGACCCAGATCCATTTTAGTACTCTGATAATTTTATATTATTATTTTATTATTATTATACTTACTGTATCTTTCTTTTTACATCAAAGTTAATTTGATTACAACAGTTATAATTTACAAATTATTTAAAAATCATAATTCTTAATTAAATAATTTCACCTTATAAAGTTCAACTTCTTGTAGTTCACAAAAGAGTAGTGATGATAAAGAGAATAAAAAAAATAATCAATATTGTAAATGTAATGCACTCAGAACTCCTGAGTTTACTGAATGCAACCTCTCTCTGAAATGCAGTATGACATGAGATACATTTCTGTGGAAACATTTATACACAAGTAATCAATTTTTAAAGTACCAATCCAAGGAGAGCAGGTAATAACTTTGGTAAGTCAACATTTTATATTATCATTTTTTAGTTTTCATCCTTTAATTCAACAATTTTGTATGCTGTATTTGTTTTTTTGGAATACATGTATGAAATGTTCACATTTTTTTATCTTTCCTTGTTAAAATATAAACTTCCTAGAAATTATTAATTCAGTCATTGGCTGCGATGTTTATGCATAGTTGACATGGACGTTGATTGTTTGAAAATACTGCATCATGCGACATGACAATGGTCATTCATGTAGGATTGGTAGTCTTCACTGCTTTATTTCCTTAACTATTAAGCGCATACAGGCAATACATTATGTACATGGTAGCCCAGATAATGCAAAATAATAAATTTTTGATCATCCCTTCTTCAACCCCCAACAAAAGGAAAAGAAATGAAATTGGGAGCAGTGAAAGCTTCAGAAATTTGACGATGAGGGTCTGACATGTCCAACAGCAAGGTCGGAACCAAGGGGCCGACTAGAGCCTCGATCAGGGTCCCAGAAAAAAAAATTCCTGGCGGGGTTCATGGATAGAGTTTTTATGACTTATTATGGACCAAAATTGTGCTTTTTCAGACCACAATATTATGAATTTCCTCCCCCCCCCCTCCCGATTCCTCGCTGGTGCCACCACTGATAGGGAGACATGTTACTTTTTTCAACCTGTTGATCCTCAGGTATTCGATGTACCCGAACATGTGCTCTTGTGTTTACATTCAGTTACATAAGTTCTATTAAAGTGACTTACCGGTAGGCATACTCTAGTTGTACTATAGTTAACAAAAAATCAGAAATAGTGTTGGAGATTTTTTCTGTGGTAGGAAAGGAACATTTTTGTTTACGTTGCCACCTTAGTGTTGTAGTAAAATGCTCAGAAACTAAACTACTATTAATTTAGCCAATGTTAGAATTGAATGACTAAAGTAGTTTGGCAGTCATTTATGCTATGTTGTGATTATTTTGGAAAGGGAATTAAATGAAAATTGAAAATAATAAATAAAAACATTATGTAATGAATTATTGAATGTGTTAATTATATTTTCAATTGGCTGTATTAATTATTAATGCACTAAAATTAATATTTGATATTTTACAGCAGTTAATTTGTTATACCTATATGACAGCCCCTCTTGAGTCAGCTTGCTATAAGCATGGAAGTTACAAAAAAGAATAAAAGAAAAAAGAGATTATCTATTTGTCTGACACATTTTGGTAGTTTGTTCTCAGCTAATCTTCATCAGCTTTTACTATATTCAATTGATGTATTTTAAAGTACTTAGTCATTTTTGAATTTAAATTTTTTTATCCAATTGATGTATTCTATCCAATTAATGTTTTTTTCAAATTACTAAATAACTTTTGAATGTATTTAAATTTTTCTCAATGTGAATTTCCCAATTTCTACATTAATATATATATTATTCTTATACATTAATAATTTCCTAATTGTATATTAAACAATTATATTTTATGAATTTTACCTGTCTTACTTATATTAGGCCTATATTGAATTCTTTTTAAAATTAATTATTGTCTGGCATTTTTCCTGTTTGTCTACTTGTCTCCGATTTTTTGCAATAAAGATTGAACTGAATTGAATAGTAGCTGATGCTTGAAAAAAAATGTAAATCACTGAAAGAAATGTGTTAACAACCGGAGAAATAAATATGGCCACAACTTGGAAAATGAGGTTAACTTCTCTTAATAACTAAGTGGAAAGAATCTGAGAAAGTCTCAGTTGGTCTGGGAGGCTTAGGTATTCGCAGCGCAGATGACAACCATCACACTTACATAACAATCAGATCTAAATCGTATTTCCTATGAGTACTCAAATATTCTTCTTATTTAACTTGAAAAGGTCTAAAGGTCTTCATAGATATGCATAGGATTAATGTGACGTATTTCTCTTAAGTCCTTCACTAATCTCATCAAATACTGTAAAGGTTTCACAAATGCAGGCACTTCTTAAATACATATTGGCCGTATTCGACTGGTCGTTCTTTGTTAAACCACGCCTACCTGCGCAGCGGTAAAATCCTAATCAACGAAAACGACCAGTCTAATAGAAAACTTGTAAATACTCGACAAAACAAAATGGCTGTATAGTCACCACGATACACATTGTGTAATCAAGATTGCTTCAACTTGTGGTAATATGGGTTTTTTGTAAAAAAAAAAATATTTTCATCCAGTTTTTGAATTCTGTTAGCCTACAATTATTTTTTGACTCCATGTGGGTAAATATTAAAATTTTTATTTTATGAAATTTAATTTAAGTTATATTAACGCAAATGTTGTTTATAAACTCACCAATCGGCCATGTTTGTTTTGGTCACATGGATAACTTAACGCTGATTAACGCACTCTGGTTTACATTAATTTTCGTTGTCAACGAAGTCTATTTAACGAAACAGTCGAATGAAAATAATACTCAACGAAAATTTGTACTCAACGAAATGAACCAGTCGAATAAGCCCATTGTTAGATAAGGATTGAAAAAGAAAATCAACCCTCAAAATTTCAAATAAAATATTGAATTCCCCATTAAGAAACAACATAAACGTAGAGAAAAAGGTAGAAGAATAACCCATAACTCAGTGAATCATTGTGCTGAATTGCGTATGAACGTGGTCCGTGACTACTTAAGTTACCAACTATCAATAAGACACAAAATGTAAAAAGAAATCATATGATCTCCATGTTACATAGAATAGTGAAGAGTATATGATTCGAACCAAAGACATCATAGGATGGTGAAGTATAAAGCTTAAGGGCCTATAGATTAATAATCAAATGGACTGACCTAAATAACTTGTCCTCATTCAACAATGGATTGATATGTCTAATAACATAACATTATAAGTATACTGCACGGTACAGTAAAGTTATATCCCTAAAATCCAACCGTTTCAGATCTAATAATTAAACTATTTCACTAAACAAAAATCACCTCCTTTATCTCTGATATGCAAGTCTGAAAATGCTACTTAATTGAACACTCTGGATGTTCAATACTACTACAGTAACACTGATAAATTACTGTAACACTGATAAATTACTGCAATAAAAATGTCACATAATGTGGAAAACTCAAGACGAGATGACATGAATAAGAATGATCTTCGTATAAAAGCGTCCTCTGTATAGATGACATACTGTACAGCTGTTGTATACAACAAAATCACAAAGATAAATGAAAAAAAAATAAATACTGTATGACTGTGAATACAGTTTTACTGATTAAAGTATGACATACCTTTTACTATGACAAGACATGATTATATTATAAATAATTATATGTTTATACTAGGGAATTGGTAAAATACACAAATCAATGGTGATGTTGGTAGTCCAGGAGTGGATACTTAATTGGATACACCAACAAATTGCGTATTCTTTCTCACACATGAAAACACCCCTTAAATAATAATAGAACAGTCGACTCCTGGCGCCAAGCACAAGCGGCCCCGCCACCATGCAACTTCCTCATTCTTTTTCGAATATGTGAGAAAGAATAGGCAATTTGTCGGTTTATCTAGGTAAGTATTCATGAAGTAGACTGTAAGTATAAGAAGGCTTGCCTCCTGTCCCGAGTCCCAATTCTATGAATGAGCTGATTTGATTCTTAAAAACCCCATGGATTTTCCTCGTAAACAAACAACGCTACTTCTTAAGTCAGCTAGCGTAATGTAGGGTAGAGCCACCTCTTGAGAGAATCCAG